CTGTGCCCGTGTATCATGGCCCAGGACCACGCCCCTCACTCATGAGCACTGTGCCCGTGTATCATGGCCCGGGACCATGTCCCTCACTCATGAGCACTGTGCCCGTGTATCCGTGGCCCAGCCTGGGACCACGCCCCTCACTCATGAGCACTGTGCCCGTGTATCATGGCCTGGCCCGGGACCACGTCCCTCACTCACGAGCGCTGTGCCCGTGTATCCGTGGCCCGGGACCACGCCCCTCACTCGTGGGACCACCCACCGAGGCTCAAGGTTCACTGGACAGGCTGGAAGACCCTGGCTCCAGCTTCCCTCTCTCATGGCTCTGATTCCTCCCTCTCCTATGTTGGGGGGCTTGGAAGGGTCCCCCACCTAATCCTGTTTGGATGGAGGAGGATGAAGGTCAGGTGGCAGGCAGCCCTACACTCTTAACCCTCTTAACCCCAAGCAGGTGTGAAGAATGCCGACGAGGCTGAACTGAAGCTCCTGGCATCCTGGCCTCTGGACATCACTGTCCACAATGTGCTGGACTTCCCCCAGCTGGCCACCTTGGCTGGCCTGCTCAGCCGCCTTATCTGTCAGAAGGTCCAGGGCAGGAGCCCAGGCAGGAGCCCAGGTAGGGGCCTGAGCAGAGCCTGCCCCACCCCCTGGGGCTGTGGACTAGCCTGTGGCCGGCTCTCCTTCCTTTCTCTGAGTGGCCATGGGGGACTTGGGTCCTGACGGTGGCCTACCTACCCACAGCCACACGGGCTCCGCCCGTGTCAGCCCTGCCCCCTCTCCCTGCATCTGCCAGCCTGGACTTCACCCGGGTCACCTCCTCCAGCCTCCACCTGTCCTGGACTCCGGCCCCGCAGCCTCCCCTCAAGTATCTGGTTGTGTGGCGATCTTCCAGGGGCAGCGTCCCCAGGGAGGTAAGGGCCTGGCACCCCGCCCGCCCCAGACGGCAGCTGGCGGGGACCCTGCCAGCCACACTCGGGGTCTGGTGAGCTGTGGCTGAACACTGGACTCGAGTCCACGGATAACCAGGTCCTGTAGACAAAGGGGGCCAGAGTGAAGGGCAGGTTCCTTGAACACATGGGTGGGGCTGGAGGGGGAGCACTGGTGCTGGCCGGGGGCGGGTGGGCTCTGGTGCCCGAGGCTTCGCTGTCAGAAGGGCTGGATTGGGAGGGTGTGTCCAATGCCTGGGCCTGGGTGCACGTCTTATGTCCCTGAACCTACGCTCTGTCCTGCAACCCTGCCTCCTGCACCTGCCCGGCCCGGCCCAACGCGGCCCTCTGTCCAGCTGCTGGTGGAGGGGGCCGCCTCATCCTTGGAGCTTCACAACCTGACTGCCAGCACGCAGTACCTGGTCTCCGTGCTCCCCGTGTACGAGGGAGGGGCTGGTGAGGGCCTGCAGGGCCTGGCCACCACAGGTAGGTGCGGGCGCCTGCGCCCACCGTCCTCCCTGGACATGGCTCCATCAGCACAGTGACCCTCGCAAGACCCGGCCCCAGGCGTGCTGGCCTGTGTCCTCCACGGGACGCCAAAGGCGTTCCACTGTGGCCGGCGCTGCCCATACCACGCAGCCGGGTCCAGGCTTCTCGGGCCACGACCACGGCCGAGCCAGGTTCTGTCAGCCCCAGGAACGCCACAGGTTACAGCTCCAAAGGAAAACCAGTTCCCAAAAGAAAGCCACACCCTCACCTTCACCCAGGCCCCTTGCCCGGCCCTGGCGACCTCTGACCTCTCTGCCGAGCTGGCATTCATCCATGGCCCTGTTCCCTGTGTGGCTTTTAGTGAGGCCCTTCCCGCCAGCGTCCCCACCCCCACTGCCCCAGGGGCCATGACCTCCATTTCTCAGTGTGGTTTGCCTTCCTAGAACTCTGAGCCAAAACGCTCAGTCAAATTGGGCTGGGCTGGGGCTCAGCACCCTGTGCCCCCCTGGCTTTCCCCAGCCCCCCGAGCCCCTCCAGCCCCCTCCAGTCCCCCCAGCTCCCTCCAGCCAGGCTGGGATGGGGCTCAGCACCCTGTGCCCCCTGGCTTTCCCCAGCCCCCCGAGCCCCTCCAGCCCCCTCCAGTCCCCCCAGCTCCCTCCAGCCAGGCTGGGATGGGGCTCAGCACCCTGTGGGCCCCCTCCCCCCGCCCCACGGGTCCCCCATCTTACCCAACCCCATTTCCGGGAGGCACTGCACAGGCCTTGCCCTGTGAGAGGGCCCCTTTGTGGGTTTGATTTCTGCATGTGCCGTGTGTCCCGACTCCCCGCTGATGGTCACCCTCCCCCCCAGCACCCCTGCCTCCGCCCCAGGCCCTGACCCTGGCCGCAGTGACGTCCAGAACCCTTCACCTCACCTGGCAGCCCTCGGCCGAGGCCGCCCAGTACCTGGTGAGGTGCCTGCCCGCCTCCCCCCCAGGCGAGGAGCAGAGAAGAGAGGTGCGAGGCTGGGCGAGGGAGCTGGGGGCCAGGGAGGCGTCGCGGCACCAGCCTTGATGCTCCGTCCCCCAGGTCCGGGTGGGGCGGCCAGAGGTGCTGCTGGGTGGTCTGGAGCCAGGCAGGAGCTACGAGGTTTCCGTGCAGAGCCTCCGCGGGCCGGAGGTCAGCGAGGCCCGACGCCTCCGGGCCAGGACCTGTGAGTGTCCCCTCCCCCACAGCCGCCCTCCGTCCCCTCCCCACAGCCACCCTCTGTCCCCACAGCCGTCCTCGGTCCCCCCCCAGCTGCCCTCGGTCCCCCCCCCAGCTGCCCTCCGTCCCCTCCCCACAGCCGCCCTCCGTCCCCGCACACGGGCCACTGGGCCGGAGTGTGCACGGGGGCTGGGGCTTGGGCGCTAAGGCTCTGCGTGCCCACAGCGGCCCCGGCACCCACAAGACACTTGAACTTCACGAACGTGAGCCACAGCTCAGCCCATGTGTCCTGGGAGGCCACCCGGAGGCCCCTCCGCCTGGTCAGGGTCAGCTACGTTTCCAGTGACGGTGGCCACTCGGGGCAGGTGAGACCAGAGCTGCCACGGTCCAGTGTCCAGAGTTTACACACCGACCTCGGGGACCCAGGGGCCCAGCATTTACACACTGACCTTGAGGACCCAGCGTTTACACACTGACCTTCGGGACCCAGTGTTTACACACCAGCCTTGGGGGCCGGCGTTTCCACACCGACCTCGGGGACCGGCGTTTCCACACCGACCCCAGCAGGCCCCCGGTGCGCCCTCGTGGGCCGGCCTCGGGCTGAGGCTCCAGGGCTGCACTGGGCAGCTTTGGGGGAGGGGAGGGTTCACACAGTGGACAATGCAGGGAGACTGCGGCTGGGCTTGGTGTGGGCAGTGGGGGGGAGGCCCCACCCATGGGTTATCCTGGGGTTCCTCATGTTGAGGACCCTGGGCCTCCACCCTGGCAGCAGCTCCGGGGACTGTGGGTCTGCCCGTGTCCCCACAGATGCAGGTCTCTGGGGACGCCACTTCCGCCGCCTTGGGGCCCCTGTCCTCTTCCACCACGTACGCCGTGCGCGTCACCCACCTCTACCTCGGGGGTGGCTCTTCCTCCCTGACCGGCCGTGTGACCACACGTGAGTTGGGGAGCAGGCTGGGGCCAGAAGTGACACGCTTTAAGTCCCCAGCCTGCCCTGACGTCTGAGCCACACGGGGACCAGCGTCCGGTGGCCGTGGCGGGCGGGCTGGGTGTGGGGCGCCCCCACATGGGTGTGAGGAACAGAGGCTCCACCTGCACCTCCACCTTCCAGGGCGGGCCCCCAGCCCGAGCCAGCTGTCGGTGACGGAGCTGCCAGGGGACGCGGTCAGGCTGTCCTGGGTGGCCGTGGGCTCTCCGGGCGCGCTCGGCTACCACATCAAGTGGACACCCTTGGGAGAGGGAGAGGCTCGTGAGGTGCAGGGGCTGAGAGGGGCGGCTGACCCTCCCTTTCTAGATCCCCAGGACAAGCTGGGGCCGGGCCCTGGGCATCCCCAGATCCTGTATCTCCAGGACTTCCTGGGCCCATGAGCTAGTCCCCCAGTGCGAGGTCCGCGAGGACACCCGGGCCCTCCTCTCCCCAGATCTCTGTCGCAGGGGCTGTACGCACGGCCGTCCTGCCTGGGCTGAGCAGGCATGCAGAATATGAGATCACCATCCTGGCCTACTATGAGGACGGGGGCCGCAGCCACCCCGTGTCCATCCGCTATGCCCCTGGTAGGTGGCCCTTCCCCCATTCCCAGAGGGAGCCCAGACTCTTCCAGACCCTGAATTCTGTGAGTCCCCAACCCCTGGACTTGGCCACCCAGCAACAGGGCGCAGGCGTTCCTGGTGGCTGAGGGACAGAGCCTGGCCGGGGTAACGCCTCTCGGCAGAGGCAGCAGGGGTCCCCTGGTTGCAGCATGCTCCTTTTGGAGGGCCTGAGCCTCACACTGCCCATGCCATTGGCCAGCTGCAGCGAGCAGAAGCCCTCCATCCAGTCTGGCCCTGGCCTCGGCCATCCCCAACAGCCTGCAGGTCAGCTGGACACCCCCAGCTGGACACGTCCTCCACTACCGGCTCACCTACGCCCCGGCCTCAGGCGCAGGACCTGAGAAATCGGTGAGTCCGTGAAGAGCTAGTGGCTGCCACTCCACAGAGGTCTTTGGGTCTGGGGGGAATGGCCAGCTGGGGTCCTGGGGGCCAGTGGATGACGTGGCCCAGTTGGTCTGCTGGGGTCCTCGGTAGTGGAGCAGACAAGAGGAGGTGGATGCTCCGGAAGGGGCGGCTCAAGGGACCCCCGTCCCACAGATCTCTGTCCCAGGCCCCAGGAACCACACAGTACTCACCGGCCTCCTGGCTGCCACCAAATACAGAGTCCTGGTCTCAGCCATCTACAGAGCAGGGAAGAGTGTGGCGGTGTCTGCCACTGGCCAAACAGGTAGGTGAACGCATATGTCAGAGCCAGACAGATAACCCAGGCCTGGCCAGATGCCCGAAGGCAGCAGACCTGTCCTAGTGCATCCACGTGGCGTGGTCACGCTCGGCCCTGCGTGTGCCCTTCACGTGGCGTGGTCACGCTCGCCCCTGCGTGTGCCCTTCACGTGGCGTGGTCACGCTCGCCCCTGCGTGTGCCCTTCACGTGGCGTGGTCACGCTCGCCCCTGCGTGTGCACTGCGTGAATCCGGTGTGGGGCCGGCCTGCATCTCCCGCTGCAGGCCCCAGCCCGTCCCCAGGGTGACCATCACCAAGGCAGCCCCTGGCCTTGCTGTTGGGATCTGGGGCTCTGGGGATGGAGTGGAGCCCCTGGCGTTGGGCCAGGACTCTGAGGATGGCAGCACCATCCTGTCCCCTCCTGGAGGGTGGAGAGAAGGGGGGCGGGGAGGGGGCGGGGATGCGATGCAGGCCTCGGGAAGGAGGTGCCTCCCCAAGGTGGCCCTCCCTGGTGGCGGGGTCAGGCTCAAAGCGACCCCTGATTCTGTGTCCTCTCAGCAGCCTGCCCGGCCCTGCCCCCAGACGCCCCCAGCGCCCACGGCACCCTCCCAGGTAGGCGCTGCACATGGCTGGCCTCTGTTTGTGCTTTGCCTGCTTTTCTCCGGCCCCTGCTGGCCGGCGGGGGCAGTGGTGGCCAGGGGCCCTCCCCGAGCTGCTGGGGAGACCACCTGTGCCCTCCCCGAGCTGCTGGGGAGACCGCCTGTGCCCTCCCCGAGCTGCTGGGGAGACCGCCTGTGCCCTCGAGGCCCCCGGAGGCTGGGAGAGGCCCCACCTTCGCCTCCAAGGACGCTCAGCCTGGAGCCGAGGCAGAGGCCAGGGTCCCGCAAGGCTCATGGCTGCCAGTGAGCCAGAGGCGCACCACGCAGAGCCAGGCCCCTCGCGTGTGCAGCTCCAGAGCCCGGGCCTCTCCAGGGAGGACTGTGGTGGACACTGTCGTGAGCTCTCAGAGGATGTGTGTGAGCAGGCAGCATAGGCAGCTGCTCAGCAGCGTGAAGGCCGGGTCTCAGCCCCTGGGGAGCCATGCCTGGCCTGGGCCCGCCGTGGGGCCGGCAAAGCTGCTGGGTGGCTGGCAGCAGACAGGTGGGCCGTGGTGGGCCAGGGGGAAGAGGGACAGCCACAGGTGATTCCCAGGAACAGGACTTGCGTCGGACGCGTAGTGTACACCTGAAGGTGAGCCCAGCCAAGGAAAAGTTGGAGAGAATCTGTCTCAAAAAGGAAATGAGATCCAAGAGGCTCAGGGTGCAGTTCAAGTGGTAGAGGCCTCTCCTAGCACGGGAGAGGTCGTGGCTCAACCCCAGTGCCACAAACAGAAGGGAAGGAGGGGGAGGAGGAAGACAAGAAGAGGAAAAACAGGAAGAGGAAGAAGATGAGCAAGATGGAGAAGGGAAAGACAATGGAGGAGGAAGAGGAACAGGAAGAGGGGGTACCATGTTGAAAGGGCCCCGGGCCTGCTGGGTGCTGACGGTGCTGAAATACCCGAGAGCGTGCACCTCCAGTGAGGGCCAGCGCACCCCGAGGAGGAGCGGAGCTTTACAGACCCGTCGTGGGCCCCAGCCCTTTGGGTTCAGGCCATGGCAGGCCTGGTTGGGTCAGATCGAAGCTGGGGAGGTGGAGGGAAGGTGCACGGTGGGGAGGTGGGGAGGTGGAGGGAAGGTGCATGGTGGGGAGGTGGGGTGGCTCAGGCCGTGGCTGGGAGGCCGTGGCTGGTTCAGGTCGTGGCTGGGAGTCCGTGGCTGGCTCAGGCCGTGGCTGGCTCAGGCCATAGCTGGGAGGCTGTGGCTGGCTCAGGTCGTGGCTGGGAGGCCATGGCTGGGAGACTGTGGCTGGCTCAGGCCGTGGCCGGCTCAGGCCGTGGAGGGCCCCTGGGCTCTGCTGAACAGATGGGCATGGAGGGTATGGTGCCAGGCAACTGGCACACAGGGAGGTCTTCCTTAAGGAGAAAAGCACGTTGGGGGTGCTGGGCTCTGCTTGCTGCAGGGGTGAGCCGGGGCGTGTGGAGGGCAGGGGCAGACACGCCACCCTGTGTCAGCCCTGGGCCTCCCAAGCAGAGGCATCTGGCTGAGCGTTTTCCCCGGTATCAGCTGTGGAGGCTGGGGAAAGGTAGTGTGGAATGGGATAGGATGAGATGGCCAGCCAGGGACTGGATTCCAGGGCGGGCCACACGCGCCACCCTCCTGCCCCATGTGCCACCCCAGACCCCACCCCTGTCCCCCCTGAGCAGTGAGCCTGGCCCCTCGTCCCCCCCGTCTCCCCCAGATCCCACCCCTGTCCTCCCTGAGCAGTGAGCCTGCCCCCCGACTCCCCCAGACCCCACCCCTGTCCCCCCTGAGCAGTGAGCCTGGCCGTTCCCCGTCTCCCCCAGGGTTTGACCTGATGGGGGCCTTCGGCCTGGTGGCAACGGAATATGCCTCCACCCCGGGCGTGGCCATGGGACCCTGGGCCTGGGGCCGGGCCCCAACCTTCACGCTCTTCAAGGATGCCCAGCTGACGCGGCGGGCCAGGTATGCGGGCAGAGGGACCGGGGCGGCAGTGGGGGCCGTGGGAGGCCAGGCGTGCAGACGGGCGTGGGAAGACTGGCCGCGTCTCCTGTGGCCCGTAGGACCTCCACCCCGGACTGACCGGGCCCCACGCCACTTCACAAACCAGAGACAGGCCTCAGCCCGTGCACTTCCCAGGTCCGCCTCTGGCGAGTGGACGGAGGCCACTCCCTGGCATGCGCCACTCACGCAAATCTGCCCCATGTGGCCTGGGCACTGGCCACACCTGCAGGATTTTTTTTTTTTTTTTGCCAATTCTGGGGCTTGAACTCAGGGCCTGGGCACTGTCATTGGGCTTCTCTGTACTCAAGGCTAGACTCTACCACTTGAGCCACAGCACCACTTCCAGCCTTTTCTGTTTATGTGGTACAGAGGAATCGAACCCAGGGCTTCATGCGTGCCAGGCTAGCACTCTACCACTGAGCCACCTTCCCAGCCCACACTTGCAGGATTCTGTGTGTGGGACGCCATGCTGGTCTCCTTTGGCAGGGCAGGGGGGCACGGGCTGCTGGCACCTATGAGGCTCCAGGGGGTAGCAGATGGTTCCCAGGTGTGCTCACCCAGCCCAGGTGTGCTCACCCAGCCCAGGTGTGCTCACCCAGCCCAGGTGTGCCCCAGCCCAGGCGTGATCACCCAGCCCGGGTGTGCTCACCCAGCCCAGGCATGCTCACCCAGCCCAGGTGTGCTCACCCAGCCCAGGTGTGCCCCAGCCCAGGTGTGCCCCAGCCCAGGCGTGCTCACCCAGCCCAGGTGTGCTCACCCAGCCCAGGTGTGCCCCAGCCCAGGTGTGCCCCAGCCCAGGTGTGCTCACCCAGCCCAGGTGTGCCCCAGCCCAGGTGTGCTCACCCGGCCCAGGTGTGCTCACCCAGCCCAGGTGTACCCCAGCCCAGGTATGCTCACACAGCCTAGGTGTGCTCACCCAGCCCAGGCGTGCTCACCCAGCCCAGGTGTGCTCACCCAGCCCAGGTATGCTCACACAGCCCAGGTGTGCTCACCCAGCCCAGGCGTGCTCACACAGCCCAGGTGTGCTCACCCAGCCCAGGCGTGCTCACCTGGCCCAGGTGTGCTCACCCAGCCCAGGCGTGCTCACCCGGCCCAGGTGTGCTCACCCAGCCCAGGCGTGCTCACCCAGCCCAGGTGTGCTCACCCAGCCCAGGTGTGCCCCAGCCCAGGTGTGCTCACCCTGCC